ACAAAAAGATGAAAATTTTACCAAGCCTAGGATAGATTTAAGATGCTTTGCGCCAATTACCCTCAACATGGCATGTCACAACAAATTTTGATTACTTACTTCTATGAAGGATTAGGAGTAGATGATCAAATTCTTGTTGATAGCATCAACAATATTCCCTTGTTTGATAGAACTCCCGATGCCGCATATGAAACATTGGAAGCTTTGTCTAAAGCAATTGAACCCCCTAGCTTTAGAGAGAAGAAAGATCAAGAGAAAGAAGCCAAGGAAGAGCTAGAAGTCAACCACAATCAAAAAGTTCCACCATCCATGGAGATTGATCAACCAAGCCAACCTTCAATTAAGAAGCAAGATCTAATTCCACGACATAGAGAAAAAGTTGGAAGCATTCTTCAATGCAAGGGAGAAACTTTTCCTCAATTTTGGAGAAGATTCAAAAAGCTATGTGGTGATCATCCTCAACATGGCTATGACAAAGGGAGATTGGTTCAATACTTCTATCAAGGATTAAGAGACTTTGATCAAAAAATTGTTAGAAGTATTACATCAACTCCATTGTTGGAAAGTTCAGCAGAGATTATGTTTTTGGTCTTAGAAAATTTTGCTAAAACACTAAGTCCCCTAATTCCAAATACTAACTCCCGCAAGAAGAAGAAAAGGAAGAAGCAAGCCAAGGTACCGAAGGAAGCTGCTCAAAGACACAGCCCGGCCAAGCCCGTGCCGCACAAACAAACATGTCAGGCTACAGCCCGGCCATCAACATTCCATGGCCGGCCAACACCAGCCTTGTCCGCACCAGCCCGAGCCATCACCGCACCAAGACCGGCCATGCCCGCACCTCGCCTAGTACTTCCGCGCCAAGCCAAGTCAGAACCGGCCATTGCCCGGCCAAGGATGCCCAATGCTGCACCACCTCAAGTTTCCACCAACTTAGGACGGGCCATCACCGAGCCATTACCAGCCAAATGCTTTTCAAGCCGTGCCACATCCGTGCCGCCACCGATTATGCCCGTGCCACCTCCAGATCGTGCTGCTTTATGTTCTTTGATTTTTTCAAGTCTTGATAAAATTTAACTTGAAATTATCAAAATCATTGATGAAAGTAGATTCATTGAGGACCTATTGAAGGAATATATTCAAAATTCCTTCATCCTTGAAGAATAATTTTCTTTAAGGCAGTCTAGCCAAAGACCTTAAAGAAATGCGCTTATTGGGAGGCAACCCAATGTTTTTACTAACCCTTAATTTTTCTTTGTTTTATTTTTCTTATCAGGATTTCATACCAAAGGAAAACAAAAGGAGCTTACAACTACAATTGCAAGGATTCGATAATGGAGCTTATGCTTGAAAATAGAGAAGATTTCTTAAACCTTATCTCCATTTAATTTTTCTTTGATATGAATTTCATATAGATCATATAGGGTTTAAATTTGCATATTATATTTATCGTGAACACTACACTTTTAAGCATCTTTCCACATTGAGGACAATGTGTCTTTTAAGTGTGGGGGAGAGAGTCTACATACATAGAAAATTGCATAAAATTTTTCAAAAATTTTGACAAAATTTTGATTTTTCGTATATATATTGATTGATTGATTTGCTTATGATTGATGATTGCTTAGAATTTTTAAGAATGTTTGATTCATTGATTGATTTGTTGCATGATATCTTATTTCTTAGATTAGATATAATTGAAGTTTTGTGTTAAAAGCTTATTGTTTATTATTTCTATGATTGCCTATTTCTAGAACTTGTGTTTAATTTTTATTGAAACTTACACTTATGAAAGTATGTTATGAATATGTCAAGAATAATTGTGGGAGACTATCTATATAAAAAGGGTAGTTTAAAAATCTTTTTCATAAAAAGACGTGTTTTCATGCAAGAGGAGTAGAGATATCTTCTGCCTTAAAAAAAATCCATTGTTGTCACTCTTCTCTTTAAACAAAAGGAGTTAGTAACCCTTGAGAAGAGGATAAGAGGCATGGAATTGCAGAAATATTGTCCCTCTTTTGAAAAAAATAGAAGGAGTCCTTCTAGAGTGCTAGTAGCCTCAAAATAAAGGGTGTTAGTAACCCCTAATCATGAACACTTCGAGGTTAGTAACCTCACTTTTCTAAATATCTAATTACCCTTTTAAAATTATTATAACCCATGCGAAACTCTTGATTTGTATTCATGATATCCAATCCTTTGAGTAATGGAGATAAAGATGGAGACATAAGCTTATAGGAAGAAGTAGTTATAGGTGTGATGAATGATAAGTGATTAGAACTACTTTGATTATGGTTACTTAAGAATAAAGATGCTTGCTATTTCTTGGTCCTTTGAATTGAGTACTTTTAATATTCTTTGTTATTCTAATTTCATGATTGAATTGATCCTTAATATGTGTATGTATTCAAAGTTTTTCAAAAGATTTGAATATAAGTTTAACTTACATGCATAAATTTAGGTTAAGTTAATTTTAATTTTTGTTTTGCATAGTTTGTCTACACTAGTTTGCTAGGGACTAGCAAAGGTTTAGTGTGGGGGAAAATATGATCGAGCCAAAAAAGACCCTATTTTTATAGCTATTTTTCCATGCTTTTTGCTATTTTTATGTGTATTTTAACCTTATTTTACTAGTATTTGTGTTTTTAGGTCTTGAAGACAAGAAAAGTGGAAACTTGTTGTTTTTCACTCTTTTTGGAGCTATTTTGGTGACTTTTTACTCAATTATAGACTTAACAATTTGAAATGAAGATTTGAAGATTCGAATTTCGTATTTGAAGATATTTTGAAGATTTGAAGATTATTGAAGAATTATTTCAAGAAGCAAGAATTGAAGATTTGAAGCTTATTTGCAAAGGATTGAAGCCAAGCCCAGAACAAGTCCGGAAGTTAAGGATTTTTGGATATTTTATACGGGATAATACTTATCCCATATAAGCCCACAATTGGAGTTAAAATCTCAATTTGTGTCCCATATATCCAAGGAAATATCCAAATCCCGTAATTTCCCGCAACTAATCCTAGTTGGATTAGGATTCAATGCAGTCACGGTAAAAAGGCCATAACATTCTGCTCAGATGTCCGTTTTAGGCCCATGAGTAGCCGTTGGAAAGCTAATTCCGAGATCTACAACTCTCCTTTGAAATCCAAAGCCCAGTTCTGCCATCTTCAAGTCCGAATCTTCCGTCGAAGTTTTTGCAGAAATCCAGAATTTTCCAGGATCCTATTTTGACTTGGATTTTACTCTATGAAGACTTTTAATCCAACTTGGAGTCTAAGTTGGACCTAGAACCGTCCTAGACCTTTTCCTAAGTCTATGAGGAGTCTAATTAGTCCACTATAAATAGCCACCTCCTGTAACACAAATCACATACTTTACATACCTTCACATAATTTCTTTTCATCTATTTTCTAGTTTTTCTCTAGTTTTTAGGCTAGATGTGTCGACACCATCTCTTTGCTTAGAGAGGGGCGGCAAACCTAGGGTTTCAAGAGGGAGGATTTCGCCTTCTAGTTTTGTAAGTTTTCTTATGCCTCTCATGGATTTTCCCAAATCCATGAGTAGCTAAATTCTTAATACTTCTTATCCTTTGGTGAATTCAATCAATTGATTATGGTGAGATTTCTATACTTATAATTTAGTGTTAAGTTCTTGATAGATAGTAAACAAGTCCCTGTTTTATTTTATGATCTTGAATTTTATTGATTTATGTGGCCACTAATGACGTAATTGGATAGATCTATAGCTAAATCAAATAAGGCTTGACCTCCGAGTTTGATTATTTGTAGCAAATTGGATTTGTTTGACCGCTGCTCAATGGGATGAGTTTATCGGTAGGTGAGTCAAATTGCTTATTGTATGGTTCGCAAGGCATGTGTGAAAAACCTTGTTCTTAATGCTTTGTTCTCAAGTGATCTTTAGGCCCTGAAAAAGTAATTGACCACTGAAGGAATAAAAGGGATAACTGCAGCTTTGACCGACCTCTTATCTAATATACATGTTCGGTCTCCGAGATCAGTTGTCATCAAGAATAAGATACTGAATTCATCTTTTAAATCAAGGATCCATAGTTAATTTGATTGATTCATATCATTGGAGAAGAAGTATGCTTATTAATTATTGTTTTCTTTAAAATTGCTATAGATTTAGATTTAATTTACTTTGTTTTGTTTTTAGTTTAATTGTTTTCTTTATAAATAATTCTCTTAATCCCCTGCTTTCTAAGTAATTTTTGGAAAAGATTTATTCTTTGGATAGGATTTTTACAATTTATTACCCTTCTCTATGGGATTCGACCCCTACTTACTCTATCTACTCTAGTTAGTTTTTGTGGGGATTATTTTATGATTGTTGACGACACGATCACTGGTTCTTCGGAGTGTGACTTACGAAACAAATCTAGTAATTCCAGAAAGTTTGTCGGGAGTAGGAAATTTGGAGGGGGAGATTTTTTATAAACGTAAATCATTAGATAAAGATAATGAAAGAGGTACTAATGTCTTATCTAAGTCTACGGGAAAGGAAGTGAATTTTAAGGATAAGGCAGCAAGGGCGGGGAAATTGGTTCTTAATTTGGCTGAGCATCTTAATGCTTTTAATTCAGCCGGATTTACTTTCAATGCAGGCTTGGATACAAATGGGCCAAATGTTGCTTCTTATTCTAAGAAGCCGTTGAGTAAAGGGCCTAAGTCGGGTCACGCCTCTGGGAAAGGCAGTGCAAAGGGGCCAGCTTAATTCGTAAATTGTAATCAGAAAAAAGGAAAGCTCTGTGTGATTAAGGAGAAAGAAATTATAAAGTCTATAAAGGCTACATGTGAGAGACCGCAGGGTTTGGAAGGGCTGAATGATCTCAATAGACCTACGGAAGGTGATTGTTTGGAAGGCTCCTTGGTTGAGTCAGGAGAGATAGTGCTGCAATCGGTGGACAACAAACAGAGGCATTGGATGATTCCATGAAAGTGGAAACTGGTGTTGTACACCAAACAATTAAACATGTTTTCCAATGAAGTTGATAGTTTGGAATAGCAGAGGCTTAGGTTACGCTAAGTTTCGAAGAACAGTGAGAGAGTTGGTGAAAGATAATAAACCAGATGTTCTTTGCTTAATTGAAACAAAATCTGATGAGACTGTGGTGAAGAATTTGGCGTTGAAGCTTAAGTTTTCCTCTTCCTTTACCGTTCCAGCGCATGGTATGGCTGGTGGCCTTGCTTTATTTTGGAATGCAGAGAAAATTGATGTAGATGTTCTAGGTTCGTCTGAACAATGTATACATACTGCCATGGTGATTAATTCAGTTTAGCAGGTTTTCTCCTTTGTATATGTTAGACGAAGTTGTGATTGAAAGGATCGTTTTTGGGTGGAGCTTAAGGTTTTTGTAGAGATAATCGATTCTCCTTGGTGTGTTTTGGGTGATTTTAATGATTTTGCAGCGGTTGATGAGAGGTGGGGTGGAAGTTCGAGTTCTCATGATGTTATTAATCATATTGTAAAATTTAAGGATCGGTGGAGTAGTTGTGATTTATTCGATGCCGGCACTTCTGGTTGTCATTTCACTTGGATAAGAAAGAATGGTGGCAGGATTATTTTGCAGGATAAACTTGATAGGGTGTTATGGAATTCACATGCATTGCTAGAGAAATGCCAGAGCTATTGTGCTCCCTCGCTTATGTTCAGATCATCATCCGATTCTTTTTTATATTGATTATGTTCGGTTTGGTTCGATAGGTAACATGCCTTTCCGTTTGGAAACTGCTTGGTTATCACATTCGGAGTTCAATTCGATGTTTTTGTCGACTTGGGGGAAGAGGAATGGCAACTTAATTAAGGCAATTGAGGAAGTTACCAGGGATGTTCAGGTTTGGAAGAAGGATGTCTTTGGTAGTATTAAAAAATACAAGAGAATTCTTTTGGCAAGAATTCAGGGTATTCAACAAAGTGCGGATTATGGGGCTTCAAATTTTCTTCAACAACTTGAATTTTGCTTACAGCAAGACTATCATCAAGTGCTACAACAAGAGGAAGTCCTATGGCTTTAAGAATCTCGACTTAATTGGTTTCAGATGGGTGAGAGAAATACTAAGTTTTTTCACCATAGTACCATGGTGAGAAGGCAACGTAATCTTGTGACAAGCTTGAGGGTTTAGGGGATTTGGATTGTTAATCTTGGTTTTGGGGAGGCATGTCATTGAGTTCTTCTCCTCCCTTTGGTTGGCAATCTTGTGAATCGTTGGAAGCAAATTATAATGTTTTCAGCCTTAAGTTATCACTTATCAGGTGAAGAGCAAGCTAGTGTGACACACGACCTTAAGATGGTGGAGGTGCGAAATGCAATGTTCTCCATGAAGGGTCTCAAGGCACTAGGTGTTGATGGAATTCAGCCAATCTTTTATCAAAGGAACTGGGATGTGGTTAAATACACACTTTTTAAGTTTGTAGAAGAGGCTTTGCAGGCTGGGAATGTGGATTTGGATGTTTTGAAGGCATATGGTGCTTATTCCGAAAGGTTCTCGATCGACAACAGTGAAGGATTTTCGGCTAATCACTTTACTAAATACCTCTTATAAGATTCTTTTCAAGGTGATAGTTAACCACCTTAGACCTATTCTGCAAAGAATTATCAGGCCATATCAAAATAGTTTTCTTGTTGGTCGTAGTACTGCTGATAATATTTGGATTACTTAGGAAGTAGTGCATTCTCTAATGGGTAAAAAGAAAGGGGCTATGGTTTGCATGATTGACCTACATAAAGCTTATGATAATGTGTCTTGGACGTTTGTCAGGGAAGTGTTGCTTTTTTATGATATTCCTTTGAGTTTGGTGGATTTAATTATGTTTTGTATCTCTAATATGGACCTTGCAGTGGTATGGAGTTGATAATTTACCACCTTTTAAGCCTGAAAGGGGACTCAAGCAAGAGGAACCACTTTCACCATATTTATTTATTATGGTCATGGAGCGACTCTCCCATATTATTTTGGAGAAAATGGAATGAAGACTATGGAAACCAGTGAAAACTTCTAGATCAGGTCCAGGGATTTCGCATCTTTTCTTTGTAGATGGTTTAATGCTTTTTTCATCTGCTTCTAATGATCAGATTTCGGTGGTTAGAGATGCTTTGAAGGAAATTTTCTTAGGCTTCGGGTCTTCAGGTTAATCTTAATAAATTGAAGCTTTGGGTGTCGCCTAATGTTCCTCAGGCTAGAGCTGTATGTCTTAGTTAGTTATGTGGTATTCCCTTAGCCTCTTAGTTAGGGGCATATCTCGGAGTCCCAATAATACATGGGAGGTTGACGGAAGCAACCTATGGCCACATTGTTGACAAGGTAATTAGTAAGTTGTCCAATTGGAAAAGAAAAGTACTAAGCTATGCATGGAGGAGAACTTATTCAGTCTACTTTGAGTTCGATTCCCACTTATACGATGCAAACAACTATGTTGCCAGCTTTAGTTTGTGAAAATCTTGATCAGCGTAATAGAAATTTCTTATGGGGAGATAGTGTAGAAAAATCCCATGGGCATCTTGTAAGCTGGGATAGAGTATATCGACCGAAGGGGAATGGTGGCTTTGGTCCTTGGAAGGCAAAAAAATTTAATGTGGCGTTAATGGAAAAGGTTGGTAATTGGAAATTACAAACGAGTTAGCAGTCTTTCTGTAACGAGATTTTTCAACGGAAATACATAAAAGATAAATAGTTTGTTGAGGATGCGAATCATGGTAATTGTTCTTCGACTTGGAGGGGTTTGTTCCAAACGCGTGACTGTATCAAGAGAGGGATAAGGTGGCGGATTGGAGATGGTAAATCGACCAAGTTATGGTTCGATTGGTAGGTGGATGAGGGTCCTTTGTTTCATGTTGTGACTTGGATGGATGCTACACTAGACACCATTTCGAAAGTGGAATCGATTTTGACCTAAGATGGTTCTTGTTAGCTTGATAATTATTCGAGCCACACCGTCACTCATGTCTATTGCGGAGGGTGATGTTGTGTTTGGGGTTGGGAGAACCATGGTTTGTGTAGATGATGATTTTTGGTATATAGTTTTAATTATATATTATCAAATATTAATGCTATTAACACATATAATAATAATTGGGTTAGACTTTGAACGCGTGGCAGGGTTCATGATCTAGCCTATTGGGATATACAGGGGAGTTGGCTTAGAGGCTCAGGCTAGGAGTCAAGTTGGGAGTACTACTCTCAACCTTTTCCTGGGAGGAGTGACATGTTCCTACCTTATCCACCCAAATACTAAATACTCCCTACCCACCAAAGGTATACCGTAAATACTTCATACCCACCAAGGGTATACCGTAAATACTCCATACCCACCAAGGGTATACCGTAAATACTCCCTACCCACCAAAGGTATACCGTAAACACTCACCAAGTATTATAAAGCCAATAGGCAGTTACTTCATCAAGAATGAGGTAACCACCTAGGTTCTTCAAAGCAGTTACTTCATCAAGAATGAGGTAACCACCCACGTTCTTATTTGAAGAATGTGGGGTAGTTACTTTCTAAAATCAAGGGGTATAAATAAGACCCTCAGACAACTGAGAAAAGGTTAATCACTTTGTCATTATTCACAGCATACAGAGACTTTATTCTCTAAAAAGCTCTCTGACCCAAAGAAACTTGCAACACCATAAACAACCACCATAAAACACCGCCTGCCACCGCGCACTTACCCTCAAGGAACTGCTCCGGCCTTCCTCCCTGCCACCTCCTGTGGATCCTTATCTGTTTGTGACGTTGCCTCACTCTACATCTCAGAATCCTTGTTTACATTTTGGCGACTCCGCTGGGGAGGAACGATCACAAAAGGTAAGTTACGGCAGAAAGCACCGCCGTGAGCAGCCATGAGTGACGATAGCAATGACACTACTCCTCCTCCTTATTTTGTTGAGCTGATGAATTTGATTAAATCCAACGATCAGAAAGCGAGTGAGAGAATAGCTTTTATGGAGAAGTCTAATGCTGTTATGGAAGAGCGTATAGTGCAGTTGACTCGAGCACTAAATGGAAGTAATGGTAAAAACGCTGAAATTCCCACTGCTGCCAATGGTGGAGACCTGTCAGAGGCAAGCAATGGTGGACGTGGTGCTGAAGGTACTCCCAAAGAAACACAACCACCTCCACCACCCTTTAATTCGACTCCCATACTGGTGGATAATGATACTGAGTATGTTACAAAGGAGGAACTTGAGAAGATTTTCCAGAAAAAGAATGTTGCCAGCTCTGAGTTTGACTTGAAGCTCCCATACTCTAAAAGGGTAGCAACGAAGCCATACCCTAAGGACTATGTTAGTCCAAAGTTCAAGCAGTTTGATGGGAAGTCTGGGGATGCCAAGGAGCATGTGATGAAGTTTGTGGAGACCCTGGGAGTTGCTGGTTTGGATGATGATTTGAAGTTGAAAGAATTTTCTAAGTCTTTGACAGGGAAGGCTTACACCTGGTATGTGAATCTCATTCCAGGGTCTGTTGAGTCTTGGAGCCACATGTGCACCCTCTTTGGGGAGAAATTCTTCTCCACGCAGGAGAGAGTAACGTTGATTGACTTAGGAAGGGAACATCAAGGGCGTGGGGAGGATCTCATGGACTACATCCAGCGTTTTAGGGAAAGAGTGTTGGATATTCATGAGCAACATGATGAGAAGGAGCTGGTGAAAGTGTGTCTTCAAGGGATGTTTGATGAATACAGGGTTCACCTAGAGAATTTGAACTTGCATACGTTTGCTGTGTTAGTAGAAGCTGCGAGAAGGACCAACAATACGGTGACGAGACAAAGGGAGGCGCAGCAGAGGTATAGAAAAATTCCTCAACAGTGCATGCGGTTCAGTATGGAGATAGAAAGGAAGGGAAGCATCCCAAGAGGGACTTCCAAGGTGGAGACAATCGCAGAGATGACGCACCACCTTTCCCTGTGCCTGTGGATCGAGTGCGTGCTCTCCTGCAACAATGGATAGCAGATGGGCAAGTTCATCTGCCCTTTGTGTCACAAATGCCAACCGCTCAAGAAAAAGCAGATCCGAAGTACTGTGACTACTATCGTAGGGTGAATCATCCGTTTGCTGAATGTAGAAATATGAGGAGGCTCTTGGATAGGAAAGTGAGAAATGGGGAAGTTGTAGTTGACAATAGGGGAGTCAGAATAACCCTCTACCTGTACATGGGGGTGATGTTGCTGCAATCATACATTCAGCCCATGATGAGCCGCACACCGAAGAGGAGAATGATACGCGTGTCGCCGCTTATGTGACTGCAACCATAGCAACTTCATTGCTAAAGACTCCGAATGTGAGAAATTTCTTCGATCAACTGGGTTTCTCTGAGGATGCTAGGAAGGAGGCAGCTGAGGCGTTGGTTCATATAGCTGATAAGTACCATGGTGAGGGTGGTTTTGTAGACTCAAGTATGAAAAGGATGAGTCGTGCTTATAGAAACGCCATCGTGTTTACTGAGGCAGATATGTGTACACCAAACCCCAGTCATAATAAACCTCTCTACGTGGAGAGTATTATCAATGGTGTGAAGGTGAGGAGAACTTTTGTTGATGATGGATCAGGAGTGAACCTCAAGCCTCTTTCTACAATGTATGCCCTTGAAATTGATATCAAAAGTCTACGCCACCCCATAACACTTAACTCCTTCAGTAACCAGGAGGTTCGCACCTTGGGGTATACCACAGTTAATTTCAAGCTGGGTAATATTCAGGAGCAGGCCATTTTCCATGTGATAGATGCGGATGTGGCATATCACGTTTTGTTGGGAAGGAGATGGTTGAACAATCACTACTTGATCAGTTCCAACATGCATCAGTGCATTAAGGGGTTCTGGCAGGGTAAGGAGGTCTTCATTCCAGCTACTAAGGCTCCCTTTGAGAAATATGAAGTGAGGTATGCTGAGGCTTCTTTCTTTGATGAAGTAGCAGAAGAAGGTGAGGGAGTACTCTCTAGACCTGTGGGGCTAAGGTTACCACGTTGGGAGGAGTATGCCGAAGAGGATAAGGCAGGTGGTGAGCCTAATTTCAAGCGTACTAGGAGAGGAGGAAGAAGGAAGCGTGGGCGTACAGGTGGAAATGAAATGGTTAAGCAGACTAAGGGTGTGACCTCTCGCACCAGGTCTGATGGAAAACTTGTTTATTATTTATGAAGGGACGCGGGGTGTGAGGGAACTCCTTCCCTCCACCCTGGGATAGAGTCTCCTGAGGGAGACGTAAATTGTATGCAAGTAGAAAAGGAAGCAGTAGTTGAAGAAGTAGCTCCTACCCCGGAGACGTTCCAAGATAAGCCTAAGCCACAAGGGGATGAGTTAGAGGAGATAAATTTGGCTATGGATGGGGGTACAAGTAAACCATTATTTATAAGCAAAGGCCTTACTGGAGAACGAAGGGATACACTTATTGCTCTACTGAAGGAGTATGAGGATGTGTTTGCATGGTCCTATGAACAAATGCCTGGTTTAGATGAAAATTTGGTTACTCATGAGTTACATATCTCCCCTAGTAGCAAACCAGTAAAGCAGTCTGCAAGGGTTTTCAGACCTGAGATTGATGTTCAAATCAAAGAAGAGATTGATAAGTTACTCCGGGTGGGTTTTATCAAGCCTATCAATCATCCTACTTGGCTTTCAAATGTGGTGCCAGTAAAGAAGAAGAATGGGTCAATCAGGGTGTGTGTGGATTTTAGGGACTTGAATAAAGCATGTCCTAAGGATGATTTCCCACTCCCCAACATAGATACACTTGTAGATGCTACAGCAGGTCATGAGATGTTCTCATTTATGGATGGCTTTAATGGGTATAACCAAATCAAGATGTGTAAGGAGGATGCAGAGAAGACTGCCTTCAGAACACCCATTGGGAATTTCTACTATACTGTGATGTCGTTTGGGTTGAAGAATGCAGGTGCAACCTACCAACGAGCGATGACAGCTATATTCCATGATATGATGCATGTGTGTATTGAGGATTATGTGGATGACATAGTTGTGAAATCCAAGAGGGTGTCTGATCATTTTAGTGATTTGAGGAGGGTCTTTGAAAGGTGCAGAAAGTATAAGTTGCGCATGAATCCTCTGAAATGTGCATTTGGAGTGACATCGGGGAAGTTCTTAGGGTTCATGGTGCACAGGAAGGGCATTGATGTTGATCCAGCAAAAGTTACAGCTATTAGGGAGTTAGCACCCCCTATTAATCAGAAGCAGCTGAAGAGTCTGATGGGTAAGCTGTCATATATAAAGAGGTTCATTCAAGCCTTAGGAGATATTGTAGCTCCCTTTCAAAACCTCCTCAAGAAGGGTGTTCCTTTTATTGGGGTGAACCACAGCAGAAGTCTCTCGAAAGAGTTAAGGAAGTGTTAGACTTCCCCAATCACCATGACGCCACCATAAAAGGTCAGCCTATGATGCTTTATTTAACATCCACTAATGAGTCTATAGGTGGTCTACTTGTACAGGAAGTGGAAGGAGTGGAGCGACCTGTATACTATCTGAGCAGGTGTCTCCATGGGAGTGAACTCAACTACTCACCCATAGAGAAGCACTGTTTATCCTTGGTCTTTGCCACACAGAAATTACAGCACTACCTCCTAGCCCATAAAGTGACTGTGGTGACTAAGTCAGACCCAATCAGATACATTCTCTCTAGGCCAATCCTAGCTGGAAGAGCTGCAAAGTGGTTACTTTTGTTGGGGCAATTTGATTTATCTGTAGCGCAACCCAAAGCCATAAAGTCTCAAGCACTATCTGACCTATTGGCATATTTTCCTATACAATCTGAGGAGGCAGTCACCCTAGACTCCATGTTAGGAGATGTAGAGGGTGAGGTGTGTTGTAGCCAGCCGTTGATGGGAGAATGGACCTTATACTTTGATGGTTCAGCAACTGCTACTGGAGGGGGTGCTGGAGTTGTTTTGGTCCCGCCTGAGGCGGAGCGTGCATATGAGGAAGTGGTATCCATGGCTTTCAAGTTGGATTTCCAATGTACTAATAATCAGGCAGAGTATGAGGCATTGATTTTGGGGTTGAATACAGCTAAAATTATTGGAGTAACTGAGTTGTGCATCATTGGAGATTCCAACCTTGTGGTGAAACAAACTAATGGAGAATATGCACTGAAGGAGCCCACACTTGCCCCTTATCGAGAGCTTACTCGTGTGATGTTAGACCACTTTCAGTCCAGTTAGATGTGAGCATAGCCCAAGGTCTTCTAACAGGTACGCAGATGCTCTTGCCACCTTGGCATCAAAGATACACATACCTGGGCAGAAGGAAGAAATATCATTGCTAGTGCAGAGATGGTCGGTGCCTGGCCCACTTGCTGGAATGACAGAGTATTACTTAGGGGAAGTGTCAAAAGATGCAGATTGGCGTACTCCCATTATTGAGCAGCTGAGGGAACGCAAGTCTAGTAATCTCCGTTTCCTCAAAAGTTACACCATGATACAAGGGGCGCTTTACTATAGAGGGCCTAATGGTATATTAGCTAGGTGCATCTCACCTGAGGAAGCAAAGGAAAGGCTACGCACATCACATAAGCAGTGGTGTGGCATGGAAGGGCCTCCATTATATCGTAGAATGCAGAGAGCTGGGTTATTATTGGCCAACTATGAGTAGTGATTGTGCAGATGCACAATATGCCTGCCCTCGATGTTCAGAACCTCCGGATGTTAATGATTGTCACTTTGTGGGTAGTGTTGGAGATTGGCGTAGACCATACATAGAGTATTTACAAAATGGAGTTCTACCTACTAACCATCAGGATGCAAGGAACTTGAAGAGGAAGGTACAGAGGTTCTTTATGAAGGGGAATGAGTTATACAGAACATCATTTGGTGGGAGTCCCTTGAAGTGTGTCTCACCAGCTGATGTTACGTCTCTACTGGAGGAAACACATGGGGGCACTAATGGGGCACACGAAGGAGGGTTGAAGTTATACAAGAAGCTTCTTGATCTTGGATACTACTGGCTCACAATGGAGACGGATGCCACAAGCCATGTGAGGAGGTGTCACCTATGTCAGGTTCATGGGAACGCTATACATGCTCCAGCAGTGGAACTACATAGTGTGACCACTACCATGGCCTTTCCATACTTGGGCATTTGATTTGATTGGCCCCATCAATCCGCCAGCTAAAGGGCACATATGGATTCTCGTTGCGACGGAGTGCTTTACCAAGTGGGTAGAGGCAGTGCCTTTGAAGAAAGCAACAGGACCAGCAGTAGCCAGTTTCATTAAGGAGAATGTGGTTTGCAGGTTTGGGATTCCCAGACGTATCATTTCTGATAATGGCACCCCCTTTGTGAATAAAGATGTGAGAAAGTTATTGGCTTTATACGACATTGACCATGTCAAATCTACCCGCTACTATCCACAAGGCAATGGGCAAGCAGAGGCCACCAACAAGACGTTATTGAGGGTGTTGAGCAAGATGGTTCATAAGGATCCTAAGTTGTGGCCCGATGCATTGCCAGTAGCATTATGGGCATATAGAACATCCAAGAGGAGTCCTACCAACGCTACTCCATTTTCGTTGGTGTATGGAACTGAGGTTGTGGTGCCATCTGAGTTGCTTGTACCTTCTTCCAGACTTGCTATTGACGCCGGTCTCACCCATGATGAGATGAGGGTAATGGAGTTGGAAGCACTAGATGGAAGGAGAGATAAGGCTAAGAAGCACTTTTTGGTATACCAACGGCGCATAAGCAGGGCATATGATAAGATGTTGCGTAGGAGAAGCTTTAAGCCAGGTGACCAAGTGCTCCGTGCTGCTGAGCACGTAATGAGAGGTGCTCCTCCACCGCATAAGTTCAGTGAGAAGTGGGAAGGTCCTTATATAGTACATGAAGTACATGATAGTGGTTACTGCACATTACTCAACCCCAGAAACAACAATGCTCTCACTACTCCCATCAACTTCCACTACATCAAAAAATATCATGCATGAAATTCTATCAACCTTTACTACTTCTGTTAGCCTTTTATTCTATCCTAGGATGTCATGTCAATACTCCTTACATTGTCTATACCATGCTCAATGTTATGCTATTTATGCTTAAACCTATTTCCACCTTCATTTCATGATCCATTGTGATATATTTCAATGTAATATTTCAATTTCAATGAAGTACTACCCAGATGTTCCATCCATTCACATTTGTGTCTTCTGCAATTAAGATGGAATAGTCATACTTTACTTATATTGATATTGCATAACAATGCATATATGGCCTTGTACCCTTTTGAATCTCGAAAAAAAAATAGAGAAGTTCGCCTCCTGGTGTGCAGAGCACCTAAGAGTGCCTCCTCCACGAGAATGCGTCTTCCTAAACCAAAGTAGGCAGATGTTTAGGCGCGCAGCCCCTGCTTATCA